GACATGTCCTTAGATGCAGAATTTAATTCTCTACAAAATGGCTTATTAATTTTTGCGATTAGTGTCTTTAAATCAGCTGTACATATTTGTACAGTTTCCAACTTTCTGTACAATTTCCGGTCTCCTTAGAGACTGTAGGAGCCTAATTCTTGTGTAGACTGATTACAATCGATGAAAAATCAAAGCCCTGTTAATATGAAAAGTTTACGAACGTGCTAAGTGCACCAAACGAGGTCTACAAAAAACTGTGTGACTGCGTTACGAAAAATGTCACTGCGTTACGTTTTTCTTTGACATTTTATAACTCAAGAAGAAGACTAATCAGAAAAAAAATTTTACCATCAGGTATCTGATTGAAAGAGCTATAAAAACTTCTCTTGGAAGTTTCTTGTTGCTACAGTAATGAGCGAGAAAATCTCCGTTTTATGATCATTGATTGTGATTCAGGGGTCTTTTTTTTTTGTCACTGCGTTACGCTCCGTAGAATCTCTCTAGCTCCTCAAGAAGCAGTCCCAACGACTTCATTCTTTCAAAATAAGTAGGACTTGATGAGCTGCATCGAATGACGCAAGAACGAACTTTCTAAGAGGTCTATTTTTCGAGAAAACTTGAAAATACTAGGTAAAAAATGTCACTGCGTTACATTTGGGCAAGCTCTTGCTTGTCGTATTTGTCTTTATAAATTTGTTTTCTATACAAGTCTTTTTTTTCACAATATTGACCTTCTCTAGTATTTAATTCGTGCATATATTTTTTTTTTACATGGACAAATTAAATACATATTTTTAGTCTGCGATATTAATAGTTATCATATACTTTCATTCATCAGTATAGAAACAGACATTCAAAACGAAAGAAAAATGAAATAAATCGTTCGCAAAAGAGAGAGAGAAAGATATATCGTTTACAAATGCTACTGAGGGTGAGGATTGGCCATCTTGATAATTTTGAGCCTAGGTTGAATCTCTTCTCCAACTATATTCAACCTTATTTTTGACTTTTTTTCTAACACTTGCAATGAAAAAAAGAAACTGTCGAAGTTGTTAAGGTTATCGGTCATGGCGGATCTAATGAACATGTGCGCGGTCATGTGCGACACATGTATGCGCTTATGCAATAAAAGTGCAATAAAAGTGTAGTTTTTTGCTATGACGCTTCTGGAAAACTCGCTCAAAAGCTATGAAAAACCTATTCTATCGACAGAAAAATTATGTCATTAGAAAGTAGACACTTTGTGCTATCCAACCATGTGCTTTTCTCAAAATCAATACTATTGCCGAAAATCGGCATTTCACTTCATTCTTATTTATACATATCTAACAAAATTAAAATTAACAACCGATGTATGAGTATAATAAACAGTGTACAAGTGAAAATCTGATAAAAATATACATTTTCAAGCAAAACATTTTTAAGAATATTTGTCAAAAGATTGTATAATATGTGTTATAGGAATGCTAAATTAAATGTTGTCATTACACGCAAAATATCACAAAAATAACAAATGAAACAAACATTATTTCTGAACTGAGCGTTGCATGTACGGAATGGGCATCACTCCTAAGGAATTACATAAAAGACAAAAGATTTCGTTCAAGCATTCAAGATTGAACTTTTCATGCACATTGTATGATTGCTATTAAAAACTAGTATACTATAACATATTTTAGATGGTCTCCTAGTGAACACCGGCCGAAGGGAGATGTTGGTGTTGTCTTGGATTCAAAGTCGTGGAGGGTCTTTCCCAGATATAAATCAAGGAATCGAACGAGTGCAGACGAGAGTTACATTCTGTTTGACCATCCCGATCTGAATCGTTCATTCATTTATTCGAAAATACACAATTTCGCTGAAGCATTTGAAACGAACAAATTGTTTTGGGGGAATGAATGTTTCAGTAAGCAGAACCAGAAAGAGGTCGTTCACAACCAGCATCATAATCAATTTTGTCAAGCTTGGTTATATATGTATTCTATCGTTCATTGAGGTTTTAGTTGAACGTTGCTCTCTAAGATCATTATCAGCCTTCCCGAAGAATTATATCAAAGGAATTTTCCAATATAAAATATCTCTTTTCTAGGTTTTATTCGAGCACAGAAGCAAAGCGGATTCAAATATTTTTCGGTTGAGATAGACTAGCAGAAATTATTAAATCAACGTAATTTGCGTCGCTTTTTGCGTTGATTGTAATGATTTGCTTCTAGTGTCTGCTCCTAACTTATCTCAAACGACATTTTTCTCTAAAGTTTTTAGAAGTATAGTATCATCGATCTACTACCATCATAAATGTGGACTGTATAACTGAATACAAAACTTTCGAAGCGATATTTAACTATTATTAAAATAATGCATTTTGCCTGCAGACTGCAGGCAAAATGCATTATTTTAATAATAATATTGCATTATAATAATATTGCATTATTTTAATAATAATAATAAGATATCTGCAGCCTGCAGATATCTTATTATCTTAGAGAATCGTCAACAAGTTCTCGAGGGACTCTCCGAAAAATACGAAGTCGCTGAGGAGCGACTTAAAACTACTGGGAACTCACATAATCCCTCCATTTAATATTCATAATCCTGAAAAAGTGTGAGTTATGAGCAAGAATCCCAGATCCAAAGCACGAAAATCAGAAAATAAAAGTCCAAAATCAGAAAAATCTGAGAAAAAGAAGTAGAAAATCAGTACATCTTAGGTCAAAAAAGAGCAGAAACGAGGCAGAAAAAGTTTCAAAAATCAGAATTTTTCTGCCAAAATCAGAAGATCTAGGATCCCTGGCTGTGAGAGTGGATGCTGCTCTAATAAGTGAAACTCTGTTTTATACCGCTGAAAGCTATTGTTGTTCAACGAGTGGCAGCGATTAAAGTTTTTCTTTTCAAATATGTTGTGCACAATAAGGTAGGAATGCAATAAACAGTGTTTTTTATATGTCACACTACTTGTGAAAAAAAAATTGTTTGCCTTGGCCTAATCATCGCTGTCACTGATGACGTACTAGATAGCCTCAGTTTTTGATCGTAATAGAACTGTCACTTTCAGGTATTAAAATGTTTCTCCATTTTAACGTCTAAAAACGGTCAAAAAGTTATCTCAATGGTCTAAAAACGTTTCTTCAATAAATATTGGATAAGTTATTAATGGGTATTTAATAGACAATTTATTACATTGTTATCGACAACTGAGATTTATATCCATTGCTCTAGGAATCTGGTTGAAACAAATGAAAGTCAAAACCGAAACCGAACACTTTACTTCAGTGCAAGACCAGAAGGAACTTTTTTAGTAGGTTCATATTATATTATAAAGTTGAAAGGACTGAAAGAAATAGTAATATATAGATACGAGGAGATTTATTGCGTATTGCTCTCTCTATACAAGAACCTTGATTGTTGAACAACTTTTTTTCTTCAGAACACAAAAAAGAATTCCTAACATAAACGAGACTGACAGTTAAAAACAAATGCTGCGTTAGAAAAATCAGCTTTTTTATCCTCCAGCTTTTTAGAACAATAAATACACACTACACATCATATATATATTTGAATGTTGTTCGAGGTTATATTAGTGGAAAGAAAAAAATGAAAAAACCTCCCACCTTCTATGATGTGAATAAAAAGCAGGGAAGAAAAACCCCTTTTTCTTCAATGTTGTAGCAAAGACGATACGATTTCCCGTCATCGAATAGAGAGATTAAGGTCTGGGATAGAGGGGTACATAAATGCAAAATATAATAACAGACGTATTATAGCGAAAAACAAAGAGCAAGTTAAGTGCATTTGCAAAAATGACTCCACATAAATAACATAGAATATATGCGATACATGTTTATGAGGAGAACAGGCAGAAATACACTAAGAATAATGCATAATTGAAAAAAACCAAAACATGCATAATGTAATAGAATGACAGTATTCTAACAATAAATACGAAGGTAGTGAAGATGAAGGACTTGGCGGAAAACTCTGTTTGTGGATCGCTTTCACGATGCTTCAACAAAATAAACAAACATAAGACTAATAAAAATTTGGTACAGTTTTTCAAAAAACAGAAAAATTTGAAAGCTTATTCTAAAAGCTAAGTTTAGGAGGAAAATAAATCGAGAGATGACAAATCCGGTAAAATAGTTTCTGCTAGTTCAACTGTGCACAAACGGCTAAATTAACAGAAAACTCCAAACTCTAACTTTAAGTTCAAGCATAAGTCTTGAATTCTTAGCGGACACACATAACATTATAAACTGTTTTGTTACAGGAGAGTGTACGGATTATAAAAGCATTTTGAACAAAATTAAATATATTTCAAACTTTCGCGAAGGCTATGCGTATTGGTAAGTAAAAACACGATTATAAATTCTAGAAGAAATATCGTAGATTAAGTTTAATGTTCAATCTTTTGATCAGTCAGTTCCCGTTCAATTCTTCATTCCTGAAGATCAACGTGAGAAAAGTTCGCCGCTAAACAGACGTAGATATTTAACTTGTGAGGAGAATGGAAAAAATGAAAATAAACAAACGACATTTTTGTATGCAGAAGATTTATGCTTGACTCACTGTGAAATAATGACAAATAGCGCCATCTTTAAACTTTTACCGAAACAAAATGCAATTTAGTAGGAAAAATATAATATATAATATTTCAAGCTGATTGTGTATCTAATAAAACTGTTTTTGAAGATGTCATCCATCATCGCAAATAATTGCATTCGCTTAACATTTCCCCAATGGAGTATAACTGTAAGGTCTATATTATGACGTATTTATTTATTTATTTATTTATTAGCTTGTTTATTTTTCATTTACTAATTTTCTTTCTCTTCTTAGGTGACAACAAATGTGTTCTTCTTTTTACACAAAAAAATGTTGTCGCTCAAAAGAATCTGTTTATGTTTAAACTTTGTTTCGCATCTGTTATGTCGAATTTATAGATGTGAATAATGCCGTTTGTACTCGATTCAAAAATTCTGTCCGATATTTAATAAAGTATTGTTTTTTACTATATGACGATTAAAACGTCGATAATGTCTCGTCGCGATCAATATACGGACTACCATACATCTCGTTATACTCAAAATACACTATATAATAACGATAATAACGATTATAATCATCATCATTCATATCACAGTAGACCGTTGCCACCTCAGACATCCGACGCATACCGTCAGCATTATTCTTCGACTCCATCACCAGATATACATAGCTCATCATTAACATCGCCTCATCAACAAAGAAACGATAGTAATGGATCTGTATCAAAAAAACATAAAAAAAGTAAAAAATCACATCGTAGTGATAAAAGTAAAAATCGTGAACATGACAGACATTCATCATCCTCGAAAAATGTCAGAAAAAAACACAATAACGAAGGCAAATTAGTCGATTCACAATCGCCAGTAACTCCATCGAAAAAAGCAAATAAACGAAAAATATCGGAAGGTAAGAGTAGTACAAGAACTTGGTAAGTGACCGAAGTCAGTCTCTGAACTACAATAAGATAGAACTGGCGTTCTCAGGTAGTTTTTAAATGCTGAGCGATCATACTAATAGTCAGTAGCGTAGACAAACAAAAAAAAACAATTTTTTTCTTTCAATTGATCAGCAGATTCAATGTCTTCGTACAACTTCAAACTTTCTTTCAGTCTTACATAGTTACAAGACAAACAAAGAATTTACTCGTTTGTTCAGTTCAACGCGTTGCATACTGATTTATTGTTTTAGAATGCCACTGCTAAAAAGTTGTTTTGTAACATTTTGCGTCTTCAGTTGAGTCTTCAAAGCACAATTTTCTTTATTCTAAGGTACATCTAGTGATACTTATCGTTATCGCACCACTTCAAATAGTCCGTCAAAACGTTCGTCTAAAAAGAAAAAGCACAATAGTCCAATTCAAGCAAGCTTCTCAGCGAGTCATCGTCATCACTATTCTTCCTCTTCGCACCACAGCCAACATCGTAGTAGTAAAAATCACCATCATAAAGAGAGAGATCGTTCAAAACATTCTTATCGTCATGGATCGACTTCATCTAACGACTCTTCAAATGGATATGAGACAAATGGAGGAAATGGAAATAATGCCATTACCAGTCATAATACGAACATTGAAAAATCATCATATGCGTCTAACGCCACACTTGGTGCTGAATTACAAAAAATTAAAAATAAAACAACACCAACAACGATAAATCGTAAATCAACAACATCGGCTAACACAATCAATACGGCAACGACATTATTACAATCAATTAAAAGCACAACAGAAGTGGTTACTGACGAAAGTGATCTACCGATAAGTGCATTATCAAGACAACAAAGAATAAATTCAAATACAGATAAACTAGATTCCAGTAATTCATTTATTCAATCGCCAACACTTGAACAACAACAAACTTATGTGAATTCTACTAAAATCAATACCACAAATCAAATTTTAAATGATGATTCGTCCAAAGTAATTTTGATTCCACTTACGTTTGAAATTTTATTCTATTTTCTTCTAATATCAGAAATTTTAAAGTTAGAAACACCGATTAAGGTTGAAACAGTAAAAATGACAATCGGACAATATGAGAAAAAAAATATGTGAACGTTCTTTCATCATCACTTCTCTTTACGAGCATGTTAAAGGCGAACGTTTTCAACTGCTTGTTCTACGTACACTACTATCTTTTGCTAATTTTTTTAGAAAAACCACAAGCAACGATTGACATCATCCTGTCTTTTAAATTTACCATTGCCATCGGTAGACAAGAATGCGGACAACCGTTCATCTACAGAGTAAATATATATTTCTATAGTTTTTGAAAAAAGAAGAGTTATACATTTAACATTTTATTCAGTACTTTGTTGACTCAACAACGTAAAACTCAAAATTCTTTATCACGTTCAAGTAGACAAACAACCCTGACCCGATTACCGATGCCTCCTGATTATAATTTGAATGTAGCAAATGATTCATTGTCACCACCGAGTCCAGAAAATTCTTCGTCACCATTTTCGCTTTTGAATCAATCAAATTGGTCTGGAACTACACCATTGTCGGCAACAGTTAAAACAGCGAATATTGATCAAACCACTCGTAGACCACTGTAAGTTTTTACTTTCATGTGTGGAAAAAAAAAGTTTGAGAGAGTGGTAAGAAACTAGTTGAAGAATGTAAAATAGAAAAAGACTGATAAGTTAGCATTGATATCTTTCATGTGGAATCAGATATTTGATTTTGGCTCTAAATCTGGCAATCCATCAGTTTATTTTATCGATATACTTTTGTTTTAGGATTTTGCAACGTCGTGAAGAAATGCGGAAAGATCAATGGGGTGATCGTAATGTTGATATGTATGAAATATTAGCGAAAATTGGTGAAGGTACATATGGGGAAGTGTTCAAAGCGAAAGATAAACAAACCGGTATGTAACGGAGTACTTTCTGCATAAAAAATGGTACTCCTATCTATTTCTACAGCTTGTATTTGAAAGAGTTGTTTTTGACTTATCCAATTCCTATTTTGAGTCTCTGAGTTGGTCTTCTGATTTTTTTGGCTATTTATGAGTGTCAGTATTTTTCGAGCATATTTGTTGATACGATTGCTCGCTAGTCTTCTTCATTAAGATAAAAAAAAATTTCTAGGTTGAATAATTATCCGACACCGTTTCTCATTGATCTAATGTTTTAAAATTTCAATAATTCATTAAACTTTGTTTCTGATACGATGATGTCTTACTATGAGAATATGATCTGAAGATTTATGTGATTTCTTGTTTGTTGTAGGTGATTTATGCGCATTAAAAAAAGTTCGTTTAGAAAATGAAAAAGAAGGTTTCCCAATAACAGCTGTTCGTGAAATTCAAATATTACGTCAATTAACACATGAAAATATTGTTAATTTAAAAGAATTAGTCATGGATGCTCGTACAATATCGGATATTCGAAACGATACATCATTTTATTTAGTATTTGAATATTGTGATCATGATCTATTTGGTTTGTTAGATAGTGGTCTTATAGATTTAGATTTAGATCATATTGCATCGTTTATGAAACAACTCATGTCTGGTTTGGCTTATTGTCATCAACGAAATTTTTTACATCGTGACATTAAATGTTCAAATATTCTATTGAATAATCAAGGACAAATTAAATTAGCTGATTTTGGATTAGCTCGATTGTATAATGCCGATGATAAAGAACGACCGTATACAAATAAAGTTATTACACTATGGTATCGGCCACCGGAATTATTATTAGGAGAAGAAAGATATGGACCAGCTATTGACATCTGGAGTTGCGGGTCAGTACAAAATGATAAACGTTTTTCATTCGGTCGAAAAAATGGCCGCAGTTTAGAAATAAACCACAAATTGAATATTTTTTCGTATCCATTCTGATTTCAATGAGAAGGAAAGTATCACTTTTTATTGATAGACGACTCGTTTCTCTTCAATGTGAAATAAGGATAATCAATAGAAATTAGGAGACATCAGCTTAAATTTTTAAAATATTTTTTTGTTAACAGTTGTATATTGGGCGAATTATTTCAACGTCGGCCACTATTCCAAGGTCAACGAGAAGAAGAACAGTTAGAACTAATCTCAAAATTATGTGGTTCACCAACGGTAGCTGTATGGCCCGATATTCTCCATCTACCATTATTTCAAACGTTGAAGCAACGAAAAACATATAGAAGACGTTTACGTGAAGAATTTGCAACGTACGTGTTAGATCGCTCTGTTAATCAACATTGCTTTCTGAACGTTTTCTATGTGTTTTTCTTTTATATAGAATTCCAGAACCGGCACTTGATCTATTTGATCAAATGCTTGAATTAGATCCGAGTAAACGAATAAGTGCATCGGATGCACTTCTATCAATTTGGCTAAAAGATATTACACCAGACAATATTGGGTCACCATCGTAAGTTTAAGTTTAGTTATCAGTTATATTGAAACTGGAAGTTTTTCTTTTACACATCATGTTTGAAATACTATTTCAAGATTAAGCTTGATAAAGTTTTAAAAAACTGCTACTGATTTGAATAACATACAATGGGATAGAGAGAGAGTATGGTCAGTTACCAGAATGTGTAGGTCAACTTTATCAGACAAATTCTACATGCGACTTTTTGTCACTAGAATGAAGAATTGTTTGACTTCATTTTTTCTAATAGATTGCCAGTAACCCAAGATTGTCATGAAATGTGGAGTAAAGAACATAAACGATTACGTCGTCATGGTTGGACAGAACAACAAATTGAAATACATTTTAAAAAACGAGAAGTATTGGAATATGAACGATACAATCGTGCTGTCGCAGGTATACAACTACAAACTATAGATAAAAGATAAAAGATAGTGAGTCGAATATAAAGAGTTCATATCTTAAAAAGCAATTTCTCTTAATTTAATAAGTAATTTATAAATCTTTGAATATCGATACATCTATATGGTTGATTAATGTTTACAATTTTTTGAGTCTATTAACTTTATCAAATTATCAGCTTGTTAATAAGACTGACAATTAACTATTATAGAATACCAGAGTAATTATAGACAAATAAAACGTTTATAATAGTTGAGAAATTGGTTAAAATTCAGTAACATACTAAGATCATCTTTGCATAAAATCTTACGAGGGAACCTCACCAACTGATATCCTCCGGGTGAGCTCATACTTTGCTCATAGGTAGGACTCATAGTGTAGATAAAAACTCTAAAAGGATTCATCCCCTTGACTCTTGAAGAC